TCCTACAGCAGCCGCCCCTAGTGCAGCCGCCCCTGGACCCCGTGACGCCGCCCCTGGACCCCGTGCAGCCGCCCGCCGACGCCGGCCCTGCTCGCCCGGCGAGCGCCAGCCCTTCCCACCACTGGTGAGCACCTGCCTTGTTCGCGCACTGCCGCGCCCTCAGCCTGCCTGCCTGCCTGCCAGCCTGCCTGCCTGCCTGCCTGTCTGCCTGCCTGCCTGCCTGCCTGCCGGCCTGCCTGCCTGCCGCGCCTGCCCTGCCCACGCTGCTGCTGCTACAACTGCTACTGCTGCTACTGGCGGTGGCCAGATGCAGCTCCAGCGACGTCCACGTGAGTCCCTCACGCCCCAGCAGCTTTGTGAGTGGTACGCGGGTTGGGGTTGTGGGGGTGGCCGCGCTACTACTGTTGCTACTGCTGCTACTGCTGTTACTGCTGCTACTGCTGTTACTGCTGCTACTGCTACTACTCCTGCTACTGCTGCTACTGGCGGTGGCCAGATGGAGCTCCAGCGACGTCCGCGCGAGTCTCTCACGCCCCAGCAGCTTCATGAGTGGTACGCTCAGAGTCGAGGGTCTCTGAGTACCGTTCGCTGCCCGTACATCATTCGCACAGGTGTTCGGACTGGTCAGCCTTGCGGGACGCCTGGTCACACAGAGTCCCGCTGCTTCGCCCGTCTGAGCGACGCTTGGCGTACAGAGTTTGGCGACGACGCTGAGCTCCCCGACTGGGTGGAGCTGCTTAGGCAGAGGGTAGATATCTTTGCTCTTGACTATGATGCTATTCTCACTGCAATGTATGCATTGCCTACTAGTGCTGACCGAGCCTGTTACCTGTGCGTACCGCCTGGCCCAGGTATCGAGTCTGCTGCTCTAGGTGCTGGTGAGGCTGTTGCTCTAGGTGCTGGTGAGGCTGCTGCTCCAGGTGCTGGTGAGTCTGCTCTCTCTGGTACTGCGCCTGCTGAGGCCTTGTACACCTTCACACTTGACTCCGGTGCCTCTCGCTCCTTCTTTCGCGACAGCACCACCCTTACGCCGCTCAGTCGGCCGGTTGCAGTCTCCCTGGCAGACCCCTCTGGGGGTCCAGTCCGTACGACCTCCACCACTGTCCTCCCTTGTCCTGCTGTCCCGTCCGACACACTATCGGGTCTTTACCTCCCCTCGTTCTCTACGAACTTGGTGGCGGGTTCTGCGCTCCAGGACGCGGGTGTTCACCAGTTCACCCCTGCCTACGAGCGTGTGACGCACTGCACGTGTGCTCAGACGGGTCGTCACCTGGCTACCTTCACTCGGCAGCCGGGGTCGGGCCTGTACACACTGACCACTGAGTCCCCTCAGGTAGCTGCGTCTGCGTCTGCGTCAGGTCAGTTGTCGGCCCCCTGCTCGTGTCGCGCCTTGTCGCACCAGACCCTCCTTTGGCACCACCGCCTTGGTCACCCCTCGGTGCAGCGCCTTCGCAGCATGCATCGCCGTGTCCTTGTCTCTGGTCTTCCCCGAGTTCTCCCTCCCCTCCCACCCTTGCCTGCTCCTCCCTGTCTGCCCTGTGTCGAGGGGCGGCAGCGCGCCGCTCCTCACTCCTCCTCGTTCCCTCCCACAGAGGCTCCCCTGCAGACTCTCCACCTGGACGTGTGGGGCCCAGCCCGCGTCCGTGGACAGGGCCACGAGCGGTACTTCCTGCTGGTCGTCGACGACTACACGCGTTACACCACGGTCTTCCCCTTGCGCACCAAGGGTGAGGTCCCTGATGTTTTGATCCCTTGGATCTGCGCTGCTCGTCTCCAGCTCCGCGAGCGGTTCGGGACGGAGTTTCCCGTCCTGCGTCTGCACTCTGACAGAGGTGGGGAGTTTTCCTTCGACCTCTTGGCAGCCTTCTGTGCGGAGCACGGCATCCGCCAGACGTTCACGCTTTTGGCCTCTCCGCAGCAGAATGGGGTTGCTGGGCGCCGCATTGGCTTAGTCATGGAGGTCGCTCGCACCTCCATGATCCATGCGGCTGCCCCCCATTTTCTGTGGCCGTTTGCGGTCCGGTATGCCGCGCATCAGCTCAACCTCTGGCCCCGTGTCTCCTTGCCGGAGACCTCGCCCACGCTGCTGTGGACGGGGAAGGTTGGCGATGCGTCGCGTTTCCGGGTCTGGGGTGCTCGTGCCTTTGTCCGCGATACCACCGCGGACAAGCTCTCCGCCCGCGCTGTTCCCTGTGTCTTCCTTGGCTTTGTCCCTGACGCGCACAGGAGTTACGTTGGCTCACCTACCTACTGACCGACTTGGGAGAGCGGCCTCGTTCTCCTCCAGTGCTGTACGTCGACAACAAGGCTACCATTGCCTTGTGTGAGGAGCACAGAACGAAGCACATCGCTCTGCGTTACTTCCTGGCTCGAGAGTTGCAGCAGCGTGGTCAGCTTCGTCTGCGTTACGTGGCCACTCGGGCCAACACTGCTGATATATTCACCAAGACACTTCAGTCTGGTGATCATCAGCGTTTCTGCACTTTGTTGGGGCTTGTGCCCACTCTTCCTCACTTGCTGTAGACCTTGTTTGTACTGTGATCTATATATATGTATACCTGCATGCTTGCTTTGCTTTTCTTGACTGGTCTTGTGACCTCTTGCTCTCCCCCACTTTGCCTATGGGGGTGTGTCAAACATATGTTTATATCATATTTGTGGGTAGGCTGTAGTGGGGTAGATTATGTGGGGTATAACCCCTTAGGGTTTTCCCTTGTACTCAATTCTCTCGATAGTGCAACTCACCCATGCCTAACTTCTAAGAGGCTCAACTGAAACGGTGCTGGAGGGTCCGGTCACGGTGCGTGGGCGCTGCGCACGGGTGTTCTCACTTCGTTCCTCATCATCAGCACCATCAACACCCTCGCCCTCTCCGTTCCTCTCAGCCTCCCCAGCATCCGCTGCACCTTGTGCCAACCACTCCCGCATAATGTTGAACACCCATGACCAGTCCATGGGTCCTAATATCCTCTCCTTTCGGCCCCTCTGCACACGCGTCACTTTTCGCACCCGGATGCGATATGTTTCTGTTTGTGGCTGACGACCGCTTGACGTTCTATCCTTTGTGGCTGTGGCAACCCTAAAATTGTGACAGGTTCGTCGTATGCGGCGGAAGTGTGACTGCAGGCGTTGACTACTTTATTTGACAGCTACAAACTACCGGGCCTAATAGGTTGATGCCAGTGACTGCAGGTCGAGGTGTTGTGTGTGTGGTTTGCGCTAGAGTTGTGTTGTGTGTTTTTGGCCCGCGATGTTCTGCTTGCAGTCTGCGACATTTTCTATTGGCTTGTTCTCACATGTTTGACAAGAAGGGTTCGCTAAATAATTCGCGGCATCGCTCACTGGGTGTGCCTTCTGTCGGCTCCCAACTTTCACTTCACACCCCCTCGCCACCCGACGAACCCCATGGCCAAGCTTTTAAAACTTGTGCAATTTGGGTCAACGGCTTTAAATACTTGGATCATATAAGAACGGGCCAAGTGACCAAGAGGCCTGAAGCTGCTTTGCTCGTGGCCGTTGCCACACTTCCCTATCCATGCCCAGGTTGCAGGCTCTTATGTGCCCTATGAGGCGTAGGATGTTGTCAAGATAGTACTAGGCTTAGTAGCCTAGGGTAGAACGAGATTGACGAGAGTAAAGGGGCTTCATTATGGAGAGGGTCACAACATATAGGGTAGGAAAGAGGGTACACCACCAAGCAGGAAATCAAGATAACTACACTAACGCTAGAACTACATGCAGTTATAACAACATAATTCTGACATCCCCCCTTAACTGCATGCAGGAATAGCGAAGTGCAAAACATAACCTGCAGGGGTACACAAAGCAAAACAAAGCAGAACAAAGCAACAGCACGCAAAAGCAGTAGCAACCTGGTGCAACAGTGGTAGATACAGCTGCAGAAATCCCTTAGCCAAGACGAAAGACGAAAGACGAAAGAGGGGAGCATGCATGCGGTGCAGGTAGCCTGGAGAGCGGCGTGCGGTGGCACAGCAGGCTCAACGGCAGCACCTGCGCCAACAGCAGCAGACGAAAGACGAAAGGTGGCGACAGGGGCTGCAGCTATAGGTGCCACGTTAGTAGTGGGCGGCAGCTGCAGATGCGTGGCTGCTGTTTCCACCACTCTCTCTTACCCTCCCCCCTTGCTCAGTAGCGAGAGAGAGAGAGAGGAGGGGCGGTTGCTGGCTCGGCAGAGTCTCTCCCACCACCCCTTCATTGCATGTCCCCCTTTCATTCGCCACCCACTCATCTCCCCCCTTCCCCCACGGCAGATGGCGCTGGAGCGCTGGCGCTGGCGCTGGCGCTCGCGACCAGCGGCGAGGCAAAGGGGCAGCGCACGGGACGGGGGGACGAAACAGCGTTGGGTGACGGGGGGGGGGGGGGGGGGGGGGGGGGGGGCATGGGGCGACGAAACCGCGCGAGGCGACTGGGGGGACGTGGGGCGACGAAACCGCGCGAGGCGACTGGGGGGGCGTGGGGCGACGAAACCGCGCGAGGCGACGGGCAGGGCGCAGCGGGGGCGCGACAGACGGGCAGGGCGCACGAGTCGCGTGTGACGTGCAGCGCGACGGTCAGGGGACGGGACGGGCAGCGCAACGCGCAGGGGACGCGACGCGACGTGCAGGGGACGGGACGGTCATAGTGCGCCATAGGGACGGGTGGGCCCATTGATCTTAAAAAACAATGAAGGTTCTAGGAAAGAAACAGCTCTGAAACCATGTCAAGATAGTACTAGGCTTAGTAGCCTAGGGTAGAACGAGATTGACGAGAGAAAAGGGGCTTCACTATGGAGAGGGTCACAACATATAGGGTAGGAAAGAGGGTACACCACCAAGCAGGAAATCAAGATAACTGCACTAACGCTAGAACTACATGCAGTTATAACAACATAATTCTGACAGATGTGCCGTTAGGAAGGCACCCCACACCCCACCTGCAACACAAGCACAGAAATCGAGCAAGGGAATGCAATGTGAGGGCTGTAGGAGATGAGCATGATACTAGTGCGGGATGTAGTGGAGAGGTGGCTTTGATATGTGGGGAATGGTATGATGGGGAGGCGTGGTGGGCTGGAATCCCATGGTAAAGGGAGGGGAGGTGAGATGGGAGTAGGTGGGGGTAGGTGGGGGATGCATGTTGAAAGTTCCCATGTTGAAAGTCCCCAAGGTCAAAATGGGACGGAGGGGTGGCAATGGGTTGGAAGGCGGGTGAAAGGGAGAGAAGGGAGGGAAGGGAGGGAAGGGAGGGAAGGGAGGGAAGGGAGAGAAGGGAGAGAAGGGAGAGAAGGGAGAGAACGGAGGGAAGGGAGGGAAGGGAGGGAAGGGAGGGAAGGGAGGGAAGGGAGGGAAGGTAGGGAAGGGAGGGAGAGAAGGGAGGGAAGGGAGAGAAGGCAAGGAAGGGAGAGAAGGGAGAGAAGGGAGGGAAGGGAGGGAAGGGAGAGAAGGGAGGGAAGAGAGAGAAGGGAGGAAAGGGAGGGAAGGTAGGGAAGGGAGAGAAAGCAGGGAAGGGAGGGAAGCGAGGGAAGGGGGAGAAGGGGAAGGGAGTGTCAAACTATATGTCTATTATAATGATATGTAGGCTTTAGTGGGGTAGCTAATGTAGGGTATAGGTTTTTGTTACTTGTACCCAACTCTCTTAATAATGATCACACCTTTTCTTCCCTTTACTTTCAACATGGTATTAAGAGCAATAGGTCCTTAGGACCGTTTTAGGACTATTTTTCAGGGCCCACCAACCGTTTTTCGCCGGTTACCGCGTTGCCCGGCCCCCTGCCTACACTGCCCTGAGTCGCGCAGCCCTCGCGCTCGCCTCTGCTGGCCCTCGTGCAGCCCGCTAGCAGCCCGCCCGCTGCTTTGTCAGCCCCGCGCGTCGCTCGCCAGCTACCTCGTCAGGCCCGCGCGCCGCCCCGCAGCCCTCACGCTGCCTTCTACTGCCCCGCGCGCCGCTCCGCAGCCCTCTCGCTGCCTTCTACTACCCCGCGCGCCGCCTCTCAGCCCTCGCGCTGCCTAGACTGACCCGCGAGCGCGCAGCCCGCCCGCTGCCTCGTCAGCCCCGTGCGACGCCCGCACAGCCCGCCCACTGCCTCGTCAGCCCCGCGCACGGCCCGCGCGGCCCGCCCGCTGCCTCGTCAGCCCCGCGCGCTGCCCTCCCACTGCCTTAGCAGCCCTCGTACTGCCCTCCCACTGCCTTAGCAGCCCTCGTACTGCCTTAGCAGCCCTCGTACTGCCTTAGCAGCCCTCGTACTGCCATTAGCAGCCCTCGTACTACCTTAGCAGCCTTCGTACTACCTTAGCAGCCCTCGTACTGCCTCTACTGCTCCGCGCGCACCACTCCTCCGCCCTTGCTGCTCCTCCCCTGTCTCTGCAGCTTCGCGTACCACCCCTACCGCCCTCACATAGCCCTTGCCGTCCGCGTGCTGCCTCTACTGTCGTGCTGCAGTGACCATGGCTTCTATTAGCGTACTGTCGTTCGACCCTGAAGGTCGCCCAGTCGAGTTCGATGCCTGGCCAGAAGATCTTCAGCTGTATCTTATGACTGATGCCAAGGACGGCGCTTCGCTCTTTGACTTAGCCAAAGGTTCCTCAGTCGCTCCAGACACAGTTGACAGCGTCGCTCACTCACAGTGCCTTACCCGTGACGCTACTGCACGCCTAGCCATTCGCAACCACTTGCCTCTAGCCGAGCGCACCCACTTTGGCCAGCACAAAACCGCTAAAGCACTGTACGCTGCTGTCATCACTCGCTACTCTTCTCCTGCCACTGCTGCCCTCAGCCGCCTTATCCTACCTTACCTTTTTCCTGAGCTCTCCTCCTTTGCCACAGCTGAGAACCTTATCACTCATCTCCGCGCTAGTGACGCTCGTTACCGCGCCGCCCTCCCGACCAAGTTCTTAGACAAGAACCCTCCCCCGATGTACATCACGCTCTACTTCATTGTCACCCGACTCCCTGACTCTCTTCGTGTCGTCAGGGACCACTTTCTAGCCCTTCCCCCCACCGACCTCACAGTCGACGACCTCAAGAAGCACCTGCTTGCAGCTGAGTCCAACATCGTAGCTGTCGGTGCTGCTCGTGGCACTCCCCGCGCTCCCCTCTTTGAGGGGTGTGCCCCCTCCCCCCTTGTCCCCTCCCACGCCTCTGCTGCTACTGTTGACCTCCTTGGTGCTGAGGAGGTTGGTGCTGCTTCTACTTCTGCTGGGAAGCGCCGCAGCGGCAAGGGCAAGGGAGGTAAGGGTGGCGGCGCTGGCAGCGGGAGAGGTGGTGGTGGAGGAGGCGGCGGTGGGGGTGGTGGTGGTGGGGGTGGTGGCGGGGGTGGAGGGGTCGGTGGCAGCAGTAGCAGCAGCGGTGTGCGTAGTGGTGGTGGAGGAGGAGGGGGTGGGAGCGACAGCAGTGGCGGTGGCAGCGGCGGTGGTGATGGCGGTGGGAGCGGTGGTACCAGCAGTGGTGGCGGCCGTGGTGGAGCTGGTCAGCGGGGAGGTGCTGGCGGTGGCCAGCACCAGCAGCAGCAGCGTCAGCCCGAGCCCCGCACGCCCCAACAGCTTCTTGAGAGGTACGCTCAGCGTGGGGCGTGTGAGGGTAGTGGTCGCTGCCCTTATCGCATTCGCACTGGTGAACGCGCTAGTCAGACGTGCAACAGGTTTCACACCGAGTACCGCTGCTTCTCTAGGCTTGACGAAGCCGGGCGTACCCAGTTTCCTGATGCTACTGAGCTTCCCTATTGGGCAGATCTGCTTAGGCGTGATGTTCCTATCTTTGATCTTGATGCAATTCTTGCTGCCATGTATGCATTGACTGTTAGTGCTGAGGGTGACTGCTACTTGTGTATGCTGCCTGACCCAGGTATAGAGACTGCAGCTCTAGGTGCTAGTGAGTCTGCTCTCCCTAGAACTGCGTCCGCTCAGGCCTTGCACACCTTTACACTTGACTCTGGTGCTTCCCGCTGTTTCTTTCGCGACAGTACCACAGTCACTCCCCTCCCTGCACCTGTCCCTGTCTCACTGGCTGACCCCTCTGGGGGCCCAGTGCTAGCACGGTCCACTACTGTGCTTCCGTGTCCGGCGGTCTCGTCTGGTGAGCTGTCTGGTCTCCACCTCCCCTCGTTCTCTACGAACCTGGTGAGCAACACCGTCCTTCAGGATCATTGGATTGACACCTTTACTCCTGGAGGACATCGTGTGGCGATCTGTACGTGCTCTCGGACTGGCCGCCACCTGGCCACGTTCACACGTGCGCCTGGGTCCAGTCTGTACACCCTCACCACTGCGTCGCGCTACACCACTTTGTCTCCTCAGCTGTACGGGTCCGCTCAGGTAGCTACCCAGTGTGAGTGTCGCCGCCTGTCGCACCAGACTCTCCTTTGGCACCATCGCCTTGGTCACCCCTCCCTGCCCCTCCTTCGTGGCATGCACTCTCGCTACCTGGTCTCTGGTCTTCCCAAGTCTCTGCCCTCCCTCCCTCCCTCGCCTGCGCCGCCCTGCATTCCTTGCGTCGAGTGGCGGCAGCGCGCCGCTCCTCACTCCTCCTCGTTCCCTCCCACAGAGGCTCCCCTGCAGACTCTCCACCTGGACGTGTGGGGCCCAGCCCGCGTCCAGGGGCAAGGCCGCGAGCGGTACTTCCTGCTGGTAGTCGACGACTACACGCGTTATACCACGGTCTTCCCCATGCAGTGCAAGGGGGACGTCCCTGCTATTTTGATCCCCTGGATCCGCGCTGTTTGTCTCTAGCTCCGCGAGCGGTTCCAACTCGGACTTTCCTGTCCTGCGTCTACACTTTGACAGAGGTGATGAGTTCACCTCCGACCTCTTGCGAGCCTACTGTGAGGAGCACAACATCCGCCAGTCGTTCACGCTTCCGGCCTCTCCGCAGCAGAATGGGGTTGCTGAGCGCCGCATTGGCTTAGTCATGGAGGTCGCTCGTACCTCCATGATCCATGCAGCTGCCCCCCATTTTCTGTGGCCGTTTGCGGTCCGGTACACCGCGCATCAGCTCAACCTCTGGCCCCGTGTCTCCGTGCCGGAGACTTCGCCCACACTATGTTGGACGGGGGAGGTTGGCGATGCGTCGCGGTTCCGGGTCTGGGGTGCTCGTGCCTTTGTCCGCGATACGACTGCGGACAAAATCTCCCCTCGCGCCATTCCCTGCGTCTTCCTTGGCTTTGTCCCTGACGCGCCTAGCTGGCAGTTTTACGACCTCGCCTCGCGCTGTGTCTTTGCGTCTCAGGACGTCACCTTTGACGAGGCGGTCCCCTTTTACCGTCTCTTTCCCTACCGCACTGCCCCTCTCCCCCCCCCCCGCCGCTCTTTCTCGCTCCAGGTCCTCCCCAGGTAGACCCCCTCCCTGCTCGAGGTCCTGCTCCTTCAGGTGTATCTTAGGTAGACCCTGCTCCCTTGACTGAGCCGGTTGAGGTCACTGGTGACTCAAGTCCTACTGGGGGTGGTCCTGCTTGTGGTGCTACTTCTGGGGGTGCTGAGCCTGCGGGTGCGGAGCCTGTAGGTGCTGAGCCTGGGCGTGAGGAGTCTGGGGGTGCTGAGCCTGGGGGTACTGAGTCTGGGGGTGCTGCGTCTGGGGGCACTGAGGCGCCTGGTGAGCAGTCTCCTTGGAGTGGTCGCCTCCGTAGTCGCTCCGCTGGTGCCTCGCCACAGCACTCCCGTCGGCGTGTGCCTCTCTCCCCACAGCAGCTGCGTGAGTGGTACGTTAGCCGTCAGGGTCGCGCTACTGGAACTAGGGGCCCTGATGTGGGAGGCGCTGGCGTTGGAGGCTTTGGAGCTGGTGACTTTGCTACTGGAGGCGCTTCTACTGGAGTTACTGGAGCCACTGGTCCCGGAGGTGCTCGTACTGGAGGTACTGGAGCTGCTGGGGCTGGAGGTACTACTGGTTCTGGGGGTGCTGGTGCTGGAGATACTGAGGCTGGAGACTCTGGGGCTGGAGGTGTCGGTTCTGGGGGTGCTGCTGCTGGTGGCGCTGACCCTGGAGGTACTAGCGCTGGAGGTTCTTGAGCTGCTGGAGGTGCTAGTACTGGAGGTGCTGAAGCTGGAGGTTCAGGAGCTGCTGGAGGTGCTGGTACTGGAGGTGCTCGCGCTGGAGGTTCTGGAGCTGCTGGAGGTGCTGGTACTGGAGGTGCCGGCGCTAGAGGTTCTGGAGCTGCTGGAGGTGCTGATACTGGAGGTGCTGGCGCTGGAGGTTCTGGAGCTGCTGGAGGTGCTGGTATTGGAGGTGCTGGCGCTGGAAGTTCTGGAGCTGCTGGCGGTGCTCGCGCTGGATGCGCTAGAGATGGAGGTTCTTGAGCTGCTGGAGGTGCTGGAGCTGGAGGCGCTGGAGCTGGAGGTTCTGGAGCTGCTGGAGGTGAGCTACTGGTGCTGGTGGCACTGCACAGCCACGACTGTTCTTCGCTCCGCCGTCACCTTCGTCTCTACCACCGCCTGACTCCGTGCTTTGCCAGGTTCTTAGCCTCCCGTCTTCTACTGGTCTTCCGTTACAGCCTGGCTCCCCTCTCCCTGCTCCTTCTCCTTACACTGAGTAGACAGGAGGTCTTGCTGAGAGTCGTAAGCCTTCGTCTCGTCCTGTCTCGCCTGTTCGCACTGTCCGCACTGGTCGTACTGGTCGTCGTGTTCCTTGTGAGCGTCCGCTGGCTGTCCCCGACACGCACCTCATGGCCCTGCGTCCTTCCTCTGCTCCGCAGCGTGTTCCCCTATCGTCCCCTCCTGCGTCTTCTCTGCCTGACGTTCCAGACCCTGCGTCTGACCGCGCTTGTGCTGCTTCCCCTATTGTCACGCGTCTACTTGCCACTGTTGTCACTGACCCCTCGTTTGAGTCCACTGCTGCGTGTGCTTTAGTCGCTGAGCTTGTTGACTTTGCTGCTGCCTGTCGTCTAGACTACGCCGCTAGTCTTGTTGCTGAGTCTGAGTCTGTTTGTCCTCCGTCCGTTGGGGGTGAGTGTGCTCTTGGCATGGACGTCCTTGAGGACAGGCAGGAGGACCTTGAGTGTCTTGCAGCCGCTGCGCCTCATCTCGTGGCCATGCTGCTTGCCCCTGAGGGAGACCCGGATGCTCCAGACATCCCGACCCCGCGCTCTTACGCTCAGGCGATCGCGGGTGAGTACTCCTCTCAGTGGCAGACAGCCATGGACGCAGAGATGGCATCCTGGAAGTCCACAGGCACTTATGTCGATGAGGTTCCCCCTCCTGGGGCGAACATCGTCGATGGCATGTGGATTTTGAGGGTGAAGCGGCCGCCGGGTTCTCCACTTGTCTTCAAGGCTCGTTACTGTGAGGATCTAGGATCGAGCTCAGAAAAGAGAGTTTGAATTGAATGAATCACCTGGGTACAACACGAGGCAATATATATGGTCGACACAAGGCCCAATAACCAGGTGTTACGCGAAGGTTCCGAGGGTCGCGAAGCGTCCCGAACAGAGCCTTCCCAAATTCGGTAGAAGGCAATTCGGTGATCACCGAAAAGCCAGAATTCGGTGCACACAACCTAGCTTGGTGCTATGACTAAAATAAAATATAGGAAAGCACCTAGCCTAGGAAATCAAGCAATTCATGCATGCATATAATTATCCTATGCTAGAAATAGCATAATAAAGTAAAGGCAAGCAAGCATAGCTGGCATAAGCCGTCGTACTCTCACACGTCCCCCCCTCAAAGCTGGGTGGCGTGAGATACACCCTGCTTGACAAGATAGTCCTTGAGAGCACGGCGTGCGTTCCCCATATCTTCTTCTGCAACCCAACTGTCCTCAGTGTGGTCGTATCCCTTCCACCGTATCAGGAACTCGAGGGTCTTGCTGCCGCGGCGCCGATGAGTGAGAACGTGCTCCACTTCGTACTCGGGTTCATCCTGTATGAGAACAGGTGGTGGTGGCGGTAGCTGCCGTCCCTGGAACTGTTGGTTGGGGTCCTTGTAGGGCTTCAGTAGCTGGACATGGAAAGCGTTGTGAAGCTTCCATGTATCTGGTAAGCGCAAGCGAAATGTAACTGGTGTCACCTGTGCCTCAATGAGAAAAGGACCACAGAAGCGAGGCCGGAGTTTGGATGGGAGGTGAGACAGGTTCAAGTTGCGCGTGTCAAGAAGCACCTGATCTCCGACTGCTACTGAGTGATCTCGTCGCTGTCGATCGGCATACTGCTTCTGGGAGTTCTGCATCGTGGTGAGACGTCGCTGAGTATTCTCCCATAGCTGCTGCATGGTGGTGACGAAGTCGTGTGCCGTTTGGACATGTGCCGGTGTGGTTGCCTGCTGTGGTGTGAGTGATTCCCGTCCGTAACACAGGAAGAAAGGAGTTTTCCATGTGGCCGCATGTGACGCGTTGTTGTAGGCGAACTCTAGGGTCGGTAACTGTGTTTCCCAGTGGCTGACGTCGTCTTTGCAAGCCGTGCGCAGTAACTGTTCAACCACTTGATTGAGTCGCTCTGTCTGTCCGTCAGTCTGTGGGTGGTATGCTGAGGACATCGCAAGTTTGGTCCCCAATAATCCCATGAGCTCCTTCCAGAACTTACTCGTGAATTTGGGGTCTCTGTCTGAGATGAGTGTAGCGGGGATGCCGTGGATGGTGATGATGCGGTTGAAGAAGAGGCGAGCAGTTGTTTCAGCTGTAGCCGTGGTGTTGGTCGAGATGAAGTGACCCATTTTGGCGAACCTGTCGATCACCACGACTATAGCGTCACGCCCTCATGAGGTCGAAGGAAGTCCTGTGATGAAGTCGAGCCTAACGACCTGCCATGGCTGCTCCGGTACGGGTAGAGACTGAAGTAACCCTCCTTTATTCTGCTTCCTACTCTTCATCCGCTGGCACGTGTCGCATGAGGCGACGAACTGCTGCACGTCTGCTGCCATCCCGGGCCGGTAGTAATACTTCGCTATCCCTGCTAACGTCTTGTTGCTCCCGAAATGTCCCGCGTACAGTACGTCGTGAAACTCCTCCAGCAGAATCTGTCGGAGCGGGGCATAGTTCGGTACCCAAATCTTCCCTGATCCCTTTCTTACAGCTAAGTCCTTCTCCCACTGTAACAGCTTCTTACTGAGGTAGGCGATGGGCTGGAAACTGCGTCCGTGATGCTGCATTAGTACTGCTCCGACTGCTTGGTCACTAGCGTCTGCTTCCACCACGTAGTTTATGTCTGGATCCGGTAGGATGAGTACTGGCGCTGTAGTCAGTGCTGTCTGTAGCTGCTCCATGGCTTGCTGTTGAGGGGTATCCCATTTGTAGGGCGTATCCTTTTTAGTAGGTCGGTCAGTGGCGCTTCTGTCTTAGCGTACTGTGGCACAAACCTGTTGTAGTAGTTGGCGAAGCCTAGGAACTGCTGTTCACGTTCTCAGGAACATTCCTATCCGTCCATCTTCGCAGCTCCACTCGTTTCCCGATGTTGTAGATGCACGTTTTCCGGTTGACCCAGTCGATCTCAGGGATGAACCGCTTCAGAAAATCACGCCCTAGTGTCTTGCGGCTGCTGTACCTCATCTCGTGGCCATGCTGCTTGCCCCTGAGGGAGACCCGGATGCACCAGACATCCCGACCCCACGCTCTTACGCTCAGGCGATCGCGGGTGAGTACTCCTCTTAGTGGCGGACAGCCATGGACGCAGAGATGGCATCCTGGAAGTCCACAGGCACTTTTGTCGATGAGGTTCCCCCTCATGGGGAGAACATCATCGATGGCGTGTTGATTTTGAGGGTGAAGCGGCCGCCGGGTTCTCCGCCTGTCTTCAAGGCTCGTTACGTTGCACGAGGCTTCAGTCCGCGACAGGGAGTTGACTTCTTCCAGACCTTCTCCCCCACCCTGAAGATGACCACTCTTCGGGTGCTGCTGCACGTCGCCGCTCAGCGTGACTACGAGCTTCACTCTCTCGACTTCAGCACAGCGTTCTTACAGGGCAGTCTGCACGAGGAGATCTGGCTGCTCCGCCCACCTGGCTTCACTGGGTCGTTCCCTCCTGGTACCCAGTGGAGCCTCCGGCGACCGGTCTACGGTCTCCGCCAGGCGCCTTGTGAGTGGCACGACACACTGAGGACGACGCTTGCGGCTCTTGGGTTCGCCCCTTCCACTGCTGACCCGTCGCTGTTTCTGCGCACAGACACTTCGCTGCCGCCGTTCTACATCCTCGTGTACGTCGACGACTTGGTCTTTGCTACTGCTGACACTGAGGCCCTCGCTCTGGTGAAGTCGGAGCTGCAGAAGAGACACACGTGCACAGACCTGGGTGAGCTGTGCAGTTACCTTGGCTTGCAGATCACCCGGGACAGAGCACGCCGCACCATCACATTGACTTAGTCACACATGGTGCAGCAGGTCCTTCAGCGCTTCGGCTTCACCTGGTCCTCGCCACAGCCCACTCCTCTGGCTACAGGCCACTCGCTCTCAGCTCCACCTTCAGACGGGTCCGTAGAGCCGAGTGGTCTGTACCCAGAGCTAGTGGGCTGCCTCATGTACCCGATGACCTGCACTCGACCTGACCTTGCGTACCCTCTTGGCCTTCTGCCTCGCTACGTGGCTCCTGGTAGGCACCGAAAGGTGCACATGGATGCTGCTAAGAGGGTACTGCGCTACTTGTGCAGTACCTCGGGCATGGGGCTCGTGCTTGGAGGACGGGGTGACGTTGTCCTCACTGGGCACTCGGACGCGTCTTGGGTTGACAACCTGGCTACGCAGCGGTCGTGACAGGGTTACACCTTCAGCCTTGGCTCCGGCTCTGTTTCGTGGCGGTCTACACGCTCGTCTTCTGTTCTCAGCTCCAGTTGTGAGGCTGAGATCTACGCCACAGCCATGGCTGCACAGAAGTTACGCTGGCTCACCTACCTACTGACTGACTTGGGAGAGCAACCTCGTTCTCCTCCAGTTCTGTACGTAGACAACAAGGCCGCCATTGCCTTGTGTCAGGAGCACAGACTGGAGCACAGAACAAAGCACATCGCTCTGCGTTACTTTCTGGCTCGAGAGTTGCAGCAGCGTGGTCAGCTTCGTCTTGTTCACGTGGCCACTCGGGCCAACACTGCTGATATATTCACCAAGGCACTTCTGTCTGGTGATCATCAGCGCTTTTGTACTTTGTTAGGTCTTGTGCCTAGGTTTCCTCACTTGCTGTAGGCTTTGCTTGTACTGTGATCTACATATGTCTACCTGCATGCTTACTCTTGTTAGGTAGTGATCACTGTACTGCTGTTGTTGCATATATACCTCTGCTTGTGAACTAGCCTTGTGGCCCTCTGCTTGTGCTCGGTGTGTGTGGTGACGTTGTGATCCACCCCGAGCTTGCTCTGCATTTCTTGACATGTCTTGTGACCCCTTGTTCTCCCCCACTTTGCCTATGTGGGTGTGTCAAACTATATGTCTATGTTATAATAATATGTTGGCTTAAGTGGGGTAGCTAATGTAGGGTATAGGTTTTTGTTACTTGTACCCAACTCTCTGGATAGTGATCACACCTTTTCTTCCCTTTACTTCCAACAGGGAGAGAAGGGAGAGAAGGGAGGGAAGGGAGGGAAGGGAGAGAAGGGAGGGAAGGGAGAGAAGGGAGGGACGGCAGGGAAGGGAGAGAAGGGAGAGAAGGGAGAGAAGGGAGAGAAGGGAGGGAAGGGAGGGAAGGGAGGGAAGGCAGGGAAGGGAAAGAAGGGAGGGAAGGGAGAGAAGGGAGGGAAGGGAGGGAAGGGAGGGAAGGGAGAGAAGGGAGGGAAGGGAGAGAAGGCACTGAAAGGAGGGAAGGGATAGAAGGGATGCGGGAAGGGGAGAAAGGGAGACGGGAAGGGAAAAATGGGACACAGGAAGGGGAGAATGGGCGGCGGGAAGGGGAATAGGGCGACGGGAAATGAGTACTGGGCGGCGGGAAAGGGGAATCGGCCGGCAGGAGGGGAATTGGGGGCGGGAAAGGGGAATCGGCCGGCAGGAGGGGAATTGGGGGCGGGAAAGGGGAATCTGGCGGCGTAAAAGGGGAATCGGGCGGCGGGAAAGGGGAATCGGGGGCGGGAAAGGGAAATCGGGCGGCTGGAAAGGGAATCGGGCGGCGAGAAAGGGAATCGGGCGGTGGGAAAGGGGTAGCGTTGCCTCGCTCGAGCAGGCGACAACTGCGATCACGCGAGTGCGGCCCGCTATTCTGCACTTTGAGGCGCCGCGCGTCGTATTCACAATGGCGACAACACGCCACCTTGGGCGACGAGGGGAGGCAAATCTGCACGACGAAATCGCCTCATTTCGGCAGGAAAGGGGATTTCGAGCAAGGGCATGTATACGGCGCCTTTCGGTGGCGCGGCGACGGTTCGAGCTCTGGCGTGGTCCGGCGTCAATGCTTAGTGATGAGGCAGCAACTGGTCGAGGCCGCGAGGGGAAGGCGCAGCGAGATGTTGGAGTATATGGGCGAGAGAGCGTGGGGAGACTACGCGAGCTCGTGTGCTTGCGACCCGACGGACTTCCACCGTGGAGTGTGCTTGACCATTACCCTAAACTATCGCGATTGAATCAGTCTGTGTTCTGGTACGCCTAGGCGGGCTCCTAGGTGTGTGACCTAGACGTGAGCGCTACGCTGTGGTCGCACGCCGTTTCTTACGCTGGAGTATTTACGTAGGCGCTGAGGAGTGGGCGAGTGGGCTACACGGGGGATTGGATCGAGTATACTTTTGGCAAAACTATAACTTTCGGCCCCCTGCTGAGAGTTAGCAGGGGAGTGGAGGAACGTCGCATGTTTTTTATGCTCGTGCATGTTGTAATCTGGTTACCAGGGTGTACCATTTATAAACTTTAGCCTTTGGCCCTGCCAAATGTATACCGCTGCTTTAAGGGTGCGTCAGATCCGCTACAATGCGATTTGGCTGCAAATTTGTCGCCCTTTTGGTCGACTATATTTTTCGCCAAAGTCGACCGAATGGTCGAATGCTAAACCGACCTCCATCCAGCCACATTTTCAAGGTGTTGCAATCTGACAGATTTGGTGGCCGATTTACAGGCCGGTTTGCAAAAGTGTCAGATTTGCAGGTTGCACAGTTGGCCGGATTGTGCGACGGAGTCGCATGTATTGTTACTGAAGTGACACAACCGCTAATGTGCACACTACGATCAGACACGTTGAGTCGCTTGGGTATGTTGGCCAAGTCGCATAGGTACTGTAGCGCTGACGAGTCGAAAAAGTGGTCATCTCTCGATTCGTTTGCATGTCGGAAAGTTGTCGAATGCTAAACCGACCATCAATTTTTTATCCGGATTGTGCAAAGTTAACGAAATACCCTGCGAATGTCGTGAATGTGTAACCTTCGCTAGATCCGGCCGGCCGGATTTTTCCGACAACGGATCTGACGCACCCTAAAGCTGCGGTCTACATACTTGGAGCGGGGAGGGAGAGGTTATCACTTGAAAACAGGACTAACTAGAAACATGACTTTGAGACCTTGTTTTGAGGCTGCGCGGTTCCAAGCACAGGTGAACAGGGCATACGTTCCTTGGCGCTTGGTTGTTTGTGTTGGGCATACGTTCCGCCAATCCCTTCCCCCAAGCAAACAACCTCACGAAGTTGTTTGTTATCGCCAGCGGTTTTCGAATTTCTCGCACAAGAGTTTGGGGACCAAGTTCAATTCGCTCTCGAATCATGTTGTACCAAAGGGTGTGCATTTAGATTACCCCCCGAAAGTCCATTTTAGAATGTAGACCGCAACTTTAAGTCCCACGAAGAAGAGCGCTTATTGGTGATGCCCGGGCGAAAATGCGTCGGTGTGGAGAATAGATGACGAAACCAGATGTGACATGCCCCAAAATTCTTCAAGGGCGAACCAGTAGTTGTACCCCAGAAACCGCGATGGAAATTATGCGTTGCTCGAACTGAACATGTTTTGTCTTCACTCGCCAGAATCTTGCAATATCTTCAGCAGTTGCAGCTGGCAGCTCCTGACGTGGGCGGAGGCGAGCTGAGCGTTTTGTCGCTTGCAGAGTTGGAAGTCTTGTCCCGAAAGCCTCTGGCCGTGAAGTCGGGGTTGGTACGAAAATGTCGGCGACGAGGGCGATTGGCAGCGAGTCGTTATACGAGAGTTGGCGATGGTCGTTGAAGAAGTAACCAAATCAAAAAATTTCTCCGAAAATATTGTCGAGCGCAGATCCAGTGTCAGATCATGTCAGCACCTTCAGCGGTTTTGTCCAGACTCGCCGAACTTTTTGTCGCAATTCGCCGAGGGCTCCTGGGCAGAGATGAAAAATTGCAGCTGTCTCTCCCCCCCCTCCACTGTTGCTGCCGCCTTCTTCAGTTTGTCGTAAGTCGTTCGTACCCCTTGAAAGTCTGTGTAAATCTCGCGATGTTGCCTACTTCGTTTGACGCGCGCGTTTAACCAAACGCTGCAACTCCTCCGAAATTGTCGGCGCTCCTTGCCGTAAAACCGGTAAGTCCCCACGTAAGAACTCCGAAGTTGTCGCTCGAATCCAACCCCGTAAATCCGCAGTTGCAGTTGCAGTTCTCCTTCGAAAATCTCGGACGTGCTATAGCCGCCCACTCGGTCACCATCAGTTTCCGTCGGTTTACCCGACCCCAACATGTGGGTTCAATCGAGAACCGGGGACTGCCCTGGGTTATCCCGAGACCGAATTTCGTGGAACCTAGTGTTGGTGCAACTCTACGGTTTGCACTCCGCTTGTTGCCCGTGTGCGTGCATGCGTGTGTGCATGGAATGGAATGTGGGCATGAAATAATATATCTTTCATGCTTATAATGGTGTGTGAATGATGGGTCATGATGTCGAGTGTGTGTGTCAAGTCAATAGCGAGTTATCGCTAGTCGCGTGTAACGCGGTAATTTTGTGTGTCCCGCGCGGTTTCTATTTTGTCGTGCGCGGTTTCTATTTTGTCGCTTGTCGAACGTTCGGCGTGTCGCAGGTGTGTGCAGCAGACCCATCAAGAACTCAAGGATGAGTTTGTGATGAAGAACCCGAGCCTTGGTTTCAAGCTTCAAGTGATTTCGAAGCTCGCCAAAAGGGTACACCTCAAGACATTGAAGATAGTTACATTACTTTGTGTAGTGTAACATTTCACTTGGTGTAGGCCCTAGTGAAGGGTAGTTTCGAGACCCTTCGTGGTTGGGGACAGTGTGGTACTGTTCCACATCACTGTACCTCGGCTCTTGGGGTTTGTAGGAGTTGGGAGTCATTCCCAACTCGTAACTCTTCCTAACTCTTCCTATTGTGTGTTCTAAGACTATGTTGCTGCCATAGTGCCGTTCGTTCAAATCAACGCTGTGTCGTCAATTCTCAATGAAATCGTGCGAGCTAAATTGCTTAGTGTAGGCAACGTTAAGGCGCTCCAGATCCAAGCTGAATGAAGTCATTTGGAGTTGTGAGCAGATCGCTATGAACGTTTAAAGCCGTTGTGCAGAAATCCGACTGTGCACTCTATCCTTCGTTTTAGGCACATTGAAGCCTACTGTGACTATAACACCTAGAGGCATCAACGCCGTTGACTCCGTCGTCGAAACTGCTCCCGCCGATGCTGTTTAACAAAAACCCAGGTTTCTCCCACCAGCGCTTTGCAGATGTTTCACCGCATCGCTCATCGCCGGTCGATAAGTTCCCGAAGCTTCGACTGCTCCCACGCTCCCTATTTCTGAAGAATTTCCCGAGGTGTGCGTTTAAACACCAAGGGTCCTAGGTATCCTTGCAGCTGTGTTTCTTGCCAGGCAACTTCGAAAAGTGCCCTTCAGGCGAAGTCCCCCAACGACTCAACCGCACTCCAAGAAGCGAAGGAATACCCGCAGATTCATGATTTTTTTGTCGTTTCACCCCCCGACAATTCCGCTTCCCGCCGTTCACCCAGCGTCCGCTTTTGTCGGATGGGGTATAGTCGGTGTTGCCCGCGCGAGCCCGGCTACGGTGGAGGGGCAAAAACTATCGGAGTCGGGGACCCTTATTTAAAAGGAACTGTCGCCCAACCGTTTTGCAGCCCACCGCAACCGTCACGCCACTAAACTCCACAGTTCCCGGTCCGAGCTTAGCCGCTGCGCCGTCACTTCGTGTAGACGCCCGGGTCAGGAGAAACCAGCAAACTGCACCAGTGTTGTCCTTGCGGCGCCCCGATTTTTTCGCGTGCTGTTTCACCCAGCCCGCTTTTGTCGGAGTAGAACAGTACAGCAACTCCCCTTTTTTTTGTTTTTTTCCTGTACAGCTGTTGAACGAGCACCAGCCCAGGTGCATTTAACCAGTGCACGGTAGGCCCGTGTTCACCCCTGTTATTCGGCCAAGCAAGTTGACTGCATGAGTCAGAACTAGAACTTGGTGGGGATGGTGAGGTTCGGGCGACAGAAGGTCACAGATCGTTCACACCGGCTTTTAACATGTCCTTCACGCTGTTCTTCAACCCCCGCTTAGCCGTCCGGCAGTTTCTTCCCGTGTGTTCCGGCGGCCTGTACCAACTCCTCTGTAAATGTCGGAGCAGTATGTTGAACGCCGTTTGATCGTGGGTCGCTTGCAGCTGTCCCCGAAAACGTCTTTCCCTGGTAGGAGAAACCGCTCTTGAAACTGCCGGCCAGCTTGCAACAACTCCAGGCATGCAGCGTCGTACGAGTCGTTTCCGAGGTTACCGGCCCCGGTTTCCCCCGTCGCCTGCGTCCCACTTCTGCTAAGTGCGATATGGCCACTCCGCTTTTCGTTGCAGCCCGTAAGTGTCGGCGGGTCTGAAAATCCCGTCTGTCCACGTGCTCTCCTGTCGAAATCTTAGTGACGCGCCTGCCATGCAGTAAAAGCCGCTGCACTTCAGGTCGGGCGGGACGGCAGTTAACTCCCGCTAAGTCGGGCAGTTTAGTGTCGTCTCTCCTCGTCCACCGATATTTTCGGACGCAAACTTCATTTGCGCCTGGCGAGTTCCCCAGCCGACTTTTTTCTCCACGGAAGCTCCAAAAATGTTGCCCTTGCTGACGCAGGTTCGTTGTCGCGAGCTGCCGAAGATCCTCCCGAGAATCTAGCGCACAAGATGGCGGCGAGCCACCGACGTCAACTGCTGCTAAAAACGATTATGAAATCTTCGCGCAACTGTTGACACAGATCCGTTGACGCCAGCTGCCACTCGTGATGACGACTTCGAGGCCGTTCATGCAGATGCCAACGCAGGTCCGCTTACGCCAGCTGCCACACGAATAAACCTCCGAAATCGTCGGAAATTGCAGAGGAAATTACTCACATAAACGTCGCGACAGCTACTGCTGCCCGTTGCCCGGGGGGAGAGAGGTCAC